GATGGTTCCGGGTCGAGCCGCGACGTCTTTTGCATCTGCCGCAAACCCGAAGCTGGTATGATGATTGAATGCGAATTGTGTCACGAATGGTGAGTTTACCAAATAATGCTCCTGAAGAATGTTCACTAACAAGAACAGGTACCATGGCAAGTGCCTGAAGATTGCACGCGGAAAGGTCAAGGAGGATGACAAGTACACATGCCCAATCTGTGACTACCGCGTAAAGATTCCGCGTGATGCAACCCGACCGAAACTCGAAGACTTGCAACTATGGCAGGACGAGCTTCAAGGACTGCCATTCCAGCCAGAGGAGGAGGAGACACTCGAGTCGCTCATTGAGCATGGCACCAAATTCCGTGATTACGTGGCGCGATATATCAATCCCATGATGTCAAGCCCCGATGAGCTTACTACACAACGATTCTATCTGCGGAAACTTGAGGGCGCCGAAATTCTCCTCGCGAATGAGATCAACTTCTTCCGCCAAGAGCTGCATAGATGGGCACCCGTTGCACCAACACCGCCACCGATCCTACAAGTATCTCTCTCGACGCGGAAGCCTCGGCCGACAAAGCAGCAAAAGCTGATGAACCAATTGGGAATAACTAATCCAGAGGATCTCCCACAGCACTTGAGGACCAAGGCGCATCAGTTCAAACGCAAGGAAGGGGATGTCACCAAACCCTCGAGTCCACCACCAGGATCTGGCGAACAGTCGCACACGCCACCCGGAGAACCTCGCCAAAGCCAAGGCGACAATGAGTACTTTAACCCGGCTACCACGTCGGCATACAACAACTCTCCAACGTTTGCTACGACGGCCCCTCTCAGCTTTGGTGGAGGCTCTTCTATCGCACCAATCGATCCAGGTCTTTTTGAGAGCTCAGGGCCAGCAGGTCCGACTAGTCCGATGCAAGATCCATTCAAGAGCTCGGTCAGTGGGCACGAGATGTTTGGTGAAGCGATGGAGATGGGCGGTGGCCAGGCCGAGGAAGCCTTGGCCGTCACTGAAGGCAATAACTACGAGGACTAGCATTCTGTTGACCACGATGTTGCTTCACCTGGCGCAGGGCGTAATTTCTTTCACGCATAATAGGGTGGCGTTTCGGCATTTCTTATCTCAGCCGCTGTACACTAAGGGTTTGTTACTGTTTTCGCATTCTTCCCCACGATGACATTCCCTGCTTAAGCGAAATTTTCTTTATTTGTTCATGGATATACATGGGATATTGTAGGTGGATTTTCGGGCTGCTGTTCTGTTCGGCTGGCGATGCTTGTTGCATGCAGATGAGGTGTTGAGGGGGTTACGACAGAGCCATGCGACCAACATACCCATAAAAGGTGCGCAGTAGACTAGTCGTTGTTGTTTACATTTACTCTTCATCGATAACGAAGAATTGATAATCACTATGCTAAAAATCGAGCGCTATGCGGTGCAAGTTGATGGGTGGGTGCAGGCGAAGTGATGATGCGGGGATCTCGGAGGTTTGCATGGTAGCGCAACCAAACTACTGACAAAGGGCCCGTGCACGACATTTCTGATGGCGGTCCTGGGGCCATCAGCATCATTCCTGACCTCGGACGACACACTGCAATGCTGCCAAGTAGAGGGCTGCGGCCTGCCCAAATTGCGCCCTTGGCCTCACGACAATCAGCAATACTTAGATCGACAGCTACAAGGAAGGTGCGCACACCCAATGGTCCAATTGCTCGCTTCGTCCCATCTGCCCGCCCGCGTCCTGCCTAGCGAAGCCACACGACTTCGCACCCACGACTACTCTTTTGTCACCACTTGAGATGCATCTTTGACGAGCTTCTCCTTTAGAGATACTGACTGTAGCAGTTCTCATCGCTTCCCCGTACAGCTGGCCTCGCTTCACAGTCATGTCGAACAAGCCCGCTCCAATCTGCACAGTGGAGGAAGGGTGCAGCCGGCACTCATAATGTCATGCTGAGCGCTTCGTCTGTCCGATATGCTTCATGGTACGCGCCTTGGAGCTGGGGTAGTTCCGTCAAACCTGCCGACGCCAGCTCCGCTCTGCCCTCGAATCAAGTCCCAGTTGCCGAATTCTCCCACCGTCATACGACCGAGTTTGCAAAGCATGCAGAACCTGCCGTGAACACAGCCACTCCCGAACTTGCGCCTGCAACAATTGAGAAACCCGCTGTCGTGGATGGAGTGTCGAGCTCAGCCAATACGGTTGCAGAGAATGCCTCTATTATTGGCGAATCCAAGGCGCTTGACAATGTGCTTGAGAGCGATCCGATCAAAGACACACTCCCCACTGCCGAAATCGATCCCACTCGCCTTATTGACCATGCTGGACAATTGAAGGAACTAGGTTTAGACTACGGCTGGGGAATGACTACACTTTTTGAAAAGTGCATCGAGACTATTTACCTGCAGTCAGGTTTTGGCTGGGCCGGATCCATTCTGATCGCCGGTGTAGTAGTGCGTGGAGCAACCTTCTTCTTCCAGGCTCTTAGCTCAGATAAGATGGCAGCCATGGCCGCTCTGACACCTGTGACAAAGCCTCTACAGGACAAGATGGAGGCTGCCATTGCGCGGGGTGATAAGCAACAGGCGGATCTGTACAGGATGCAACAGGCCGAAATTATGAGACCGTACGTCGGAGGTATGGCTTCCATGGGAGGTTTCATGTTCATGCAAGCCTGGATTGGATTCTCGGCTTTCAGATTTCTGAGAGCCATGGGTGAGCTGCCTGTGCCTGGCATGGAACAAGACGGTTTCTTGTGGTTTACTGATTTGACTTCGCGTGACCCATACTTTCTTTTACCGGCTGCGACAACGGCCGTCATGTACACTGTCTTCAAGGTATGTCTATCTCCAGAGGTACGACGAACGGAGAACTAACCTGTTTTCACAGAATGGAGGCGAGGTCGGTGTACAAAACGACGTTGGCCAGGCTGCACAACGCCAAAAGCTATTTACTGGTCTTGCAGTGGTGCTTGGTCTGGTGACTGCTTTCCAAGCCGCAGCTCTGCAACTTTACTTCCTTGTGTCTGGTATCATGGGTGGTCTCACTGGTTGGATGCTGCGCCAAAACGGCTTCCGGCGCATGATTGGTATCCGCACCCTACCGAGCAAAAAGAGCAACGAGCTCTACACCAAGGTTGCACAAGGCGAGTTGAAGTTGAACGACATCAAGGGACCTGACGGCAGGATCCGCTACCAGCCGCCCACTCCCATCCGCAAGGCCCCCGCCAACCGCCGTCAAATCTCTGGCATCAACATCAAGCCCGGCGTGGCTATCCCTGCGCATCTCCAGGCTGAGGCGCCCAAGGTGGACCGTACCCGTCCCGACCGCGATGTTGATTTCGAGGAGGGTGCAGCGGGCAAGCCGATGATGGAGAAGCTGGATTACTACAGGAGGAACTACCGGCTCAGCTACATGTGGCGTAGGTTCAACGACAGCGCCGAAGCATGGACGAGGAAGATGGGTTACGGGGGTAAGAAGATGACTGCCGAGGAGGCCAAGAGAAAGAGGAAGGCCGAGGAGTATGAGATTGAGCGTCGACGAAGATTTGAAAACAGGTCGTAAGGAAGTGTGAGGTTGTGTGGGGCAGAGAGTGACTGTATGATACGGCTGAACTTGAGACCTGTGTTCTCAACGTAACAAACACAAGGGAGAAAAGTTCATTGAGGGAGACGGTTAGGAAATGCCATATTGTAGTATAGTGGTGTCTTTGTACAGATATTGGAATGCATGTATGCTCCTGAATGACACATTTTTCTCTCTTCTTCTTCTAAACGTAACGCCGACATTGCAATCGACTCGTGGGTATGTATATCTGTATGCACACTGCCTTCACCCTTAAAATCATCCATCTGGCCTACGTCTTACTCCAGCGAAGTGTACATGTCGAGTTCCTGCCCATTTCGCCGCCTTCGCTCGACAGGATCCGCGCGCATCTCTACACCCGGACCTACGCGCCGACCAGTCGTAGAACCCAATCGGTGACTTGGAAATATCTGTAACTCACACATTAGTCATTGTCTTTCCCCCTCTAAACCCCCTTCAAATCACAAAAAAAAGGAAAGAAGAAGGGAGGGGAGATAACTACGTACCTTGGTACCCGACCACCCCAACCGATACGCCGCCTCATTCGCCACCAACTCGCCAAACCCCAGCATCAATCCATTTACAAACGGCAGTAGCAAGTTAATCGCCGCGCCGCGCAGCAGGCCCCAGAGCGTGGGCGGCTTGTACAAGATCAAGGGGGAGGAACTGGATGAGGCCGAGGCGGGCGAGGGCGAGAGATCGGGGTTTGCGTCGTAGGTTTCGCTGTCTGAAGGGATGGTTATGCCGGATTCGGTGAGGGTGTTTGGGGCGGGGGATGGAGAGGTCATTGTTGTTTGCGACGTTGTTGTTGTTGTGGTGGTGGTGGTGGTGGTGAGGAGAGGTGGATGGGTGGTAGGTGATGGGAGTAGTTGGAGGTTTGAGCCCCACGCGGAGGTGGGTGCGGAGATTGGTGGTGGGTTGGTCCTATGGGAGGACTGGATGGCTGGAGGTTTTGTAGGGGGATTTTGTGTATGGAATTGAGTGAGGGAGGTGGTTTGGGATGCTTGTGCAGGGTGGATTGGTGCTGTGTTAGGGCAGGCCGAGGTGCGATGGAGTTGGGGTGGTGTTGGTGAGGCTCAATTCAACGTCGGTCTTGGCATTGGATCCCATGTTGGAGCGGTTACTGAGACTTGAAAGCTTTGTTGGAATAAACTGTTTAGTTGGATTGTGATTACTGTAGACGCTCAATTCCGAGGACAGATTTAATTCTATTATATTACTTTGACTAGTTTGTTTGCTGCAGCTTCTCATTCAACGCGCAAAAGTCCGAGCGACGTCACCAATTGCGGCCTCAGAACGAACGCCGTGGGATACATAGACCCCACCCGGTAGCTACAGTACGGTACATTGGCAACACTCCCGAGCTTGCATCAACAACACGGCGTATCTTCCCACGTCAGCACTTGGCAAACTGTAATGTCTGAAGCTGCTACCGACCGAGACGCCCAGGTTGCGCAGCTCGCTAGCTTGACTGGTCTGGACGCTGCTACGGTATGTGGAAGCTCATCGAAGCTATTGGACCTGCTCACCAACACGCGCAACAGGCAGAACGCTACCTAAACGCTGCCAACGGAGACCTCACTCTTGCAGCCTCGCTATTCTTCGACCAAACCGCCGAACAACAAGAAGCCGATTCCGAGCCCGACGTCGACATGGCCGGTGACGACGATTCCACGAACAACCCCAGCCAGAACCCGCCTCCTACCTCGGGTGGCGGACGTACGCTCGGGGGTGATTATGTTCCCTCTTCTACACCGGCAGCTTCATCTTCTTCTTCATCGCAGCGACCTGCTGGCCGCGGACAGCCGGGACAGCGGGGTGTGGCGGGCGCGAGGACCTTGAGGGACTTGCAGTCATCTGGTGGCGGCCCCGGACATGCTCACGATGATGACGATGACGACCATAGCCCTGAGGACGACAGCCAGGACTTCTTTGCCGGTGGTGAGAAGTCTGGCCTCGCTGTGCAAAACCCTAACCAGTCGAACCCACGCGATCAGATCAACAACATCCTGAAGAGGGCGCGACAGTAAGTTGGAGTTCAGTTACTCGTACAGAGCACGGTAGCTAACAGACACAGAAATGCTCCTCGGCCAGGTGGTGACGACGAGCAGCCAGCCAGCTCGCACTTCCGTGGTGCAGGCACAACGCTGGGTGGCGACGATGCTCCCTCGCGTATCATCCCAGACCCCAACGCGAACATGCCTGCACCGCCCCCGCGTGCCCACCGCGAACTCCACCTTTGGCGCGATGGCTTCTCTGTCGACGACGGCGACCTGTTTCGCTACGATGACCCGGCAAACGCACGCACTCTGGAGATGATCAACACCGGTCACGCCCCGCTGCATATCCTGAATGTAGAGCACGGACAAGAGGTGGATGTCGAGGTACACGCGCACAAGGACGAGGACTACAAGAAGCCAAAGAAGAAGTACGTTCCCTTCTCAGGCAGTGGAAACCGGCTGGGTAGCCCCACACCTGGCTCGAGTTCAACGGCTGCTACCACGCCGGCTGCAGGCTCTAGTAGTACAGGAGCCTCGACGTCCGGGGGCTCTGCGCAACCTAGCGTCGAGGTAGACTCGTCGATACCTACACTCACACTACAGGTCCGTCTTGGGGACGGTACACGATTGACATCGCGGTTCAACACTACACACACTATTGGCGACGTCTATGACTTTGTGACCAGGGCCAGCACGGCTAGTCAAGGCCGGGAATGGGCGCTCATGACGACATTTCCCAGTAAGGAACTGACGGACAAGGGCCAGGTGCTGGGTGACATTGTAGAGTTCAAGCGCGGAGGGGTTGTTGTGCAGAAGTGGAAGTGAAGAATGGTACGGTACGCCGGTGTGTGGTTGAGTGAGGGTTGAGATTGCAATACCACCGGCTATGGAGGAAGAATGCAGATGCATGTGCAAGCACAGTGGGTGCAAGAGTTGTGTTTGCTGAGTAGCATGTACTATGATGACGATGATTATGATCTGCATGATGATAGCCGAATTGGGGCCGCGTGGTGGCTAAACGGTTGAGAGAATCGGGCAGAGTGTAGTCGGCGCGATGGCGCAATTGCCCGAATAGTATCCATGGAAACATGGCCAAAATCTTAATGTGACATGATGCACAAACTTGGACAGTCAGTCAACACTCAACGGGTACATATTGGGACAGACATGGTGGAGTGCAGCTGCTTTGTGCCATGGTGGTTTGTTGGCGGAAAATGGGTTATTGGTGTAATGCGGTGAGACTTTGGCATGGGGCGTTGTACGAGGGCCGAAAGGACGATTCTTTCAACCGCTGTCGGCTCTGTCTCTGTCTCTGTCTCTCCATCGTTCTCTTTCTCATGCTGGACCGACTGGAGGAGGGGCACCTTGTGGGGGGGAGGGGAAACTTGCATACATTCACCGAATAGATACGTACGTACATTGACAGCTACATATCCGTGCATCGGCTGAATAAGTCAAACCACGACAGAACGCGTGTGGGGACAGTGGGCAGTATAGGCGCTTGCCTGCTGGTCATCTTTGCCTCTTATCTTAAATTATGCCGCCTACCAAGACGCCTGCCCAGCCGCACAATTTGCGGCAGCACGCCCCCCGCCCGCTCGCGGCTGCGTGTGATTTGTGAAGGGAGAAAAGACCATGTTTTTGAGTAGATGAGCCGGGGCGCATGGTGCGACGGGTCTTCCGCTCGGGAGGTTTTGCGAAACACGCAAGCATCGCCAACGTCGACGACCTGCGACCACTCGAGGGCGGCAGAAAGGTGTCCCAGTCCCGTTAACTTGGCGATCGCTATTTGCGTAACGCGTCAGCACTCTGCTCCAACGCCCGGCCGCACGGGGCGGGAGGCGGCACAGGGCATGGGGGTTCAGTGTCAAAACCCATGGAGAGACCCAGATCGACGAGCCTCTGGCCGCGTACTGCTGTTTGAGAGTGATGGACACCTCACGGTGATGCTACTAGCAATCTCATACCCTGTCGACTCGCTGCCCCCGACCCATGTCCCCCCATTTCGACTTGTCGACGCCTCGTCTCGTCCGACCTTCACCTTTTGGTTCTTCTCTTTCTTTTTTCCTCTTCTCGTCCCATCCTTTGTCTCCATCTGCTTCTCTTAGTCGCTCCTTGCATCCATCGGCGCCATTTGCGGTCCCATACCTACACGCGGCAGCGACCAACATCAACTGATAGCCAGCCAGGTCGACTATTATAGCTCCGGCCCTCTTGGCCCCAAAGCGCCGCCACCACCGCCCCGCCTGCTCTTTCCTTGCCCTCTACTACTTATCTATATACGCCATAGCTCAGGAGCTTCCCTTCCCACTTCCCAAGTACCGCTGCAATCGCACAACACCCACTCTCTTTCAATCGCCACTCACTCGTTGCGCCACTACCCTCACGCCCCAAAGAGCAATGCTGTCTATTTACTGCCGCTAAAAAGCTTACCTACGACCAACCCTCTTTCTACACCCTAGCTGCGATCAGCGCAGTTCGCTAGCACCTACCCAGCACTAAGACGATACGAATACGAACAACATCGACATCATGTTTTTCCGATCTCCCCGCAGATTTGCCATATTTTCCTTTGTAACGCTGCTCTTCATATGCGTCGTACTGCGCCAGAGCCCATGGGCCCAGGAAAAGGTGTACGAGAGGATACCACTGTACAACTTGGAAAGACAGCAATCAGAGCAAGAATTGTTGCACGAATCTCATGAACCCCAAGCCCCTCTTGAAGATGCATGGCAACATGCGCTTCCCATGCCTGGCGCAACCCCCAGCCCGGCAAAGGTCCTTCCACCTCCCATGGAGTCTTCACGTGAGAAGAAGCCCGAGTCCAAGACTGCCAAAGCTCACCCCCCATGGAAGACTGCGCCATCAAGAACTGGCTCTTTCATTCCTCCTACCCCGCGACCAACCAACATGAAGGAGTACGTCAAGAAGATGCTCAAATGGCCCCGACCGAGCTGGGACGGACATTGGCCTCCATTCAGCGACTACGTTGACAAGGCGTACGATCCCAATCGCTGGGAGCATTTTGATATGTAAGTAGCAGTTTTTTTCTTGTATGATTGAAGCAGCTGATTTCTAAACTTTTTTAATAGGGACTACCGCATTTACGAGGCAGGACACGACAAGCTCAACGAGACAGCCGCGGCTGATCCAGTGGCCTACAAGCCGTTCCCCAAGTACAACACTCCCAAGTGGAAGAAGAAATGGCATGGCGAGCACGTAGCTTGCCTGGGTCCCCGAGGTATCCCACTAAACACTAGTACCGATGACGAAGTTCAAGTGTACCGTGGACTCCCAGAAGACTTTCCTCCAGTGTATGCAGGTGGTTATGATGTCATTGGCCTGGACGAGGATGTTTGCTTCGACCGCTACTCGCGATACGGCCCGTACGGATACGGCGATGATGAGTTCCCAGAGGTTGTCAAAGACTGGAAAGCCCCCAAGTTGGTACCTGATTGGTCTGAGGTCAATTGGGGCGAGCTGCAGGCCGATTGCTTGGAGCGCAACAAGGAGCGATACCGACCCGGCGCGAGAGCTGAAATCGTAAAGATACCTAGCACGGCTTTGCCTGAGCCCGCTTCTGCTTCTGCCGCTTTTGCGATCCCAACGGATACCAGCAGGAGCAACCTCGAGGTTAGAAATCAGCCGGAGAAGAAGTACCATCATCGCACCGCTGTTCTCATCCGTGCTTGGACCGGTTACAAGTATGAAGAGAACGACATTACTGCGATCCGCGCAATGGTATCCGAGCTTTCTCTCCAGTCTGGTGGAGAATACCAGGTCTACCTCTATGTCCACGTCAAGGATAGGAATCTTCGAATTTTCGATGACCAGGACGAATATGACCGTGTACTTAAAGAGAACGTGCCAGAGGAGCTTCAAGATATGACAATCCTATGGTCAGAGTCCATCTTTCCGCAGTGGTATCCAAAGGTTATGGATTGGCAGGTCTATTGGCAACAATTCATGTGCCTTCAATGGTTCAGTCTTACCCACCCCGAATTTGACTACATCTGGAACTGGGAGACAGACGCAAGATACACCGGACACCACTACCACTTTTTTGAGAAGATTAGCGAGTTTGCCGACAAGCAGCCTAGGAAGCTTTTGTGGGAGCGCAACAAGCGATACTATATCCCCAGTATCCACGGAGACTACCAGTCATTTGTTGAGAACACGCACAAGGACGTTTTGAATGCATCTGCCAATTCGCTCATCCCACCTCCAGTGTGGGGACCACGACCCTGGGCACGCGCTGATCCTCCACAAAAACCACTCGGACCCACACCACCCACAACAATGGAAGAGGATAATTTTGAGTGGGGTGTTGCCGAGCCTGCGGATTTCATCACTCTGCTTCCCATGTGGGACCCACGCAATACGACATGGTCTTACAAGGATAAGATCTGGAACTACCTCCCGGGTATCAGGCCAATTTTCACTCCCGAAGACGGCCAAGCAGATTGGTTCACACACCCAGACTTTGAGCAGATTGATCGCCGAACATTTATCAACACTGTTGTACGATTCAGCAAGAGAATGCTCCAAGCCATGCACGAGGAAAACCTAGTCGGCCGCAGCATGCAAGCCGAGATGTGGCCCTCAACCGTCGCCCTCCAACACGGCCTCAAAGCTGTCTACGCCCCTCACCCCATCTTCACTGACCGCCACTGGCCAGCCGGCTACACGGAAGCCATTTTCGACACCGCCAACACCGTCGACCCGGACACCGGCGAAGCCCTCGAACCTCGCCAGGGCGCCTGGACCGAAGAAGCAGACTCCCCTTACAACCACGACCGCGAATACAACTTCCAAGGCTGGAGCTGGTACTACGCTTCTCGTTTCCCGCGCAACCTCTACCGCAGATGGCTCAACTGGCCCATGACCAAGCAGAATTGGGGTGAGGAAGAACAGATTGATGGTGGTCCAGGATCTGATGGCGTCCTCGAACAAAAGAGAATGTGCATGCCTGGTATCCTGTTACATCCCGTCAAGCGCATGACTAAAGAGGATCCCAAGCCCTAAGCCTTGACGGGGGGGAGAATTAAAAAATGGGAATGAAGGAATTGATTAAGCGTGTGTGGTGTTTTTTTTCTTGGGCTAGGTGTAAAGATCACTAGGGAGTTTTGGTTTCCTTTTTTTGTTGATAAGAACAACAATTTGTTGTCGATTTTTTTTGTTCAAAACGTTTGGTATACCTCTTTTCCTGTTTCGGTTTTGTCGCATGAGCAAAAAAGTGCAGTGTGCGACTTTTTTTGGCTGCTGTGGGCCATCCGACCTTGTGTTCGGATCTTTCTCATCTTCTTCTGTTATATATACTTTGATCAGTCGTTTTTCTTTTTTCGAAACACCTTATTGTCTCGATTGACAACTCTCTTTTTTTTGTCTGAGACAAAAATAGGCATTTAGCGGTGCTTTCGTTTCTTCTTTTCTGGGGACGTTTTGTAGAGGTAGTTGAAATGTGAGTGTGTGAGGATCAGGGCTCACTTTGGCGTTCATCATGTTAAGGTGTAGCATACATAGGTTTGTTAGAGTATGATATCTATGGTTATATTTCACTCTTGTCTATGACTGTATCTGTGAATCGTTTGCTCTGGTGATGCAATAAGCTACGTGAGTAATATGTGAACATTGCAGAGCTGCTGCTACTACTACTACTACTACTACTAAGTCCAACTCCACAATCCTCTTCCATCCATGTCATATACATGGGGCATACCTACTTCCGCGAAAGAAAAAAAACGAAGAACCTAGATCCAGTCTTTCCCCCTCCCAACTTATTTCTCAGCCCAACTCAACACTTCGCACAATCCTCGGGCTTTACC